GTCGCTTGTGTCATCAAGGCCGTCGGGGGAGGCACTCACCTCGAAGCCCTTCCACCAATCGTCCGCATCAACCTCGGTGATCTTGGTGGGAGTGGACAGGTAGCCCGCGTTGAGCACCAGGACATCCCAAACGCCAATTTGCTTCGCCACCCTCTCGAGACTGCCCGCGTCCGAGACATCCGTCCCCCCATAAGCCGTAACCTTCGTGCCCGGGAACTCCTTTCCCAACGCCGCCGCCGTCTCGAGCAGCGGCTCCTCCCTCCTTCCCAGAAGGGCAATCGCAGCAGCGCCCGAAGCCGCGAAAGAGCGGGCAGTCTCGGCGCCAATGCCGGTGCCTGCGCCGGTGATAACTATAGTCTTGCTTTTGGAAGACAGCTCGGGCCGGGATGGGGAGATGGCGGCGTTGGTGTCGTTGTGCCACTCGCTCGTGATGTTGGCGAAGCCTTCAGGGGTCTGCATGGTGGGCGGGCGGAAGGAGATATGGATTGAGTGTGTTGGGTCTGAAAGTGCTTGTGTTGGGGAGGATTCTGTGATTGATGGTTGGGTGTGAGAGGTCAGACGGTGTTGATGTTGATGTGCGATAGGAGTGAAAGACAGGTGAGGAGCGCGCGTGTAGTGAGGTATATCTATCCTCGAATACCTCGATTTGAGATCCTTTTATTAATCAATCAACGATTACATATCGTCGAAAACACAGGATTGACAAACCGTGGTGCTGAGTAACGTCACGGGATTGACAAATCGTGACGCTGAGTAACATGGCCCGAGTGATCGCCGTCACTTTTCCGGGAAGGTGCGACCCAATTCGGGGTTCCCACGCAAGTGCGTCGCTTTACCGTCTCGGCGGTCCGGGCAAGCCTTGCTCCAGCTGAGTGTACTACACGCAAGCAACACATACTAACGTGGGAGTACTGGAGTGCCCATCATCACTCCTCCTCACTCTCCTCCTCCTCATCCACAGGCCCATCCTCCTCCTCCGCCATAGCGGCGGCAAGCTGAGCGTCCAGGTCATCCTCATCCCCGGCCGCCGTCACCGTCGCCGCACTGACACTGGGCTTGTGCTCCGCAGCCGGCGACGGCAGCTCCAGATCCTCCACGTCTGCGTCTTCGTCCTCGTCCTCTTCATCCGCATCGCCATCATCATCATCCGCTGCATACCGACCTGGCCTATCGTAGCCATCGTCAGGAGGGCTCTCGCTCCCACCGAACTCAAACTCGGCATCCGACTCCGGGCCCTCTGGTCGCAACGGCATAGGCGAAGCAATCTGACTGGCAGGACTATTCGCCGCGGTGCGCAAGCTGATCGGTCCCTGATGGCCCAGTTGGCCAGACAGCGCTAGGGACATGGCATTCTGGCGCGACGCCAGCTTTTTGTCGGAGACCGGCGTCTCGTTTTCCAAGATCAACTCGCCGGAGTCGTCGTATGACGGGCGTCGGAGCGAGGCTTTACGGTCGACGCGGATCTTAGGCAGAGGGGCTTCAGTCTTTGCTCTGGGCCGACTCGTATCAGCAGGCGTTGGTGGAGGCGCTTCCTGGCTGGCCTTGGCACGCTTCACATTTGGTCGCTCTGCTGCTGCGGCGGGAGGTTTGCGCTTCTTCGGCTGCACGAGCACGCTACCGCCATCGCGCTTGGCGGGTCGCGAGATCGGTGTGGTCGTCGCGGCTCGCGGCTGTACTAATGGTGTGTTTGCGGTACTGCGCGGTGCCTCTAGGTTGGGTCTCCTCGCCCTCTCTGCTACGGCAGCTTTGAGAAAGTGTCGGTAGTCATATGGGTTTGACGGGTCCGCTGGTCCTTCTTCGGCATCCTCATCGCCAGCCGCACTATCGTCTTCGTCCTCGTCAAGGCTAGTGTGTGGGTAGCGCTCTGCAAGCTGCTGGTGTCCTGCTTCTGGTGCACTGACGAGATTGTAGACATGACTGGTGCCCACTTTCTCCAGCACAGCTTCCTGTTCCTTTCCTACTCCCTTCAACACCAGCACGTAACTATCACTGGCACTGACACGCTCGCCATCATAGCCATACTGAGCCCCACCCTGTCTCACCCTCAACTTAGTCTCGTTGTTCGTACGTGCTGATATCGTGGCCTTGACTTCCTGGGAGCCACGTAGCTGGGGCTTGTGGTTGTAGCGTATGCTCGTGTACTGCCTACGGGAGTCTGCTGGCTTCGTGATGCTCGCGCCCAGGCGGATGGGGTAGCTTGCGGTTGTCGCAAGGTCGATCGCTTGCGCTGCGGAGACTGCGGCGGCCATAATTACACACTGCTATGGGGTGGGTGAGGGAGAGTCACGTTAGGAACGGCGAAGGCGGTTAACGTTGAGCGAGTTGCAGCATGCGGTTCTTTGTTCACCACTGCTGATGAGTGACAATCAGCTCCAAATCCCAATTCAGGGTCGCGGCTGTGGAGGCGGGCCGGTCGATCAGCGAGCGTCGGCATGTCGGATTGTCGGCTTCCGGACAGCTGAGAATAGCGCGTCACGTGGTCGGACTCGCGTCGCCTTTGTCGTGGCCCAATGATCCCGATGCTCCGCAGGCAACCGCTTGGAGGCGCAGTGACGTTCCAAGCACATCTCTCCCTTTCCTTCCACCATCACCCACTTCTTCCATATCAATACCACTTCCTTTCTTCAACACATCACCTTCTAATTGCTTATTACATCACCCAAACCAAACAAACACCTGCCACCATGTCGGCCGTCGGCGGCGCCTTCATTGGCCATGTCGTCAAGCGTAGCATGCAGGCTGCCCAAGACCACTTCTCGGGCCCGAGCCAGGAGATGATTGACCAGCTCAACCACGACGCCGAGCTGTACGAGAAGGCTGGCCCAGAGATGGAGCTCAACCCGCGCGAGCTGTTGCCCGTCCTCATCACCGGCCTCATCGCCCTCGTCCTCATCGCCTCCATCCGCTACACCATCGGCGAGGTCATGGCTTCGCTGGCCATGATCGAGTCCCCCTCCTCCACCGCCATCATCGAGCCCAAGGGCGCCCCACCCCCATACGCCGACGGACCTGACGCACCACTCAACGAGAAGGAGCCACTGATGCCGGCCGAGGCGGACGCGGATGCAGATGTCGAGATCACGGTTATCAACCACAAGCACATCACCTCGAAAGTCGTCAACACCATCGGCCTGCTCCACCGCATCGGCGGCTTCCGCGCTCGCTGGAGGGGTCTCGGTCTGAGCGTGCTGTACCACATGCTGCACGCCGGCGCCACGAACCTTTTGGCGAGCTTCCTCGGCTTCAGCATCTTCGGCAACGCTGTCATCTACATCTTCGTCTCCATCGGCCTAGCCCGCCTGCACATGCTCTGGACGCACAGCATGATCGCCCACCCCTCGGAGAAGTCCATCTTCCGCCGCTTCGTCCCGCGCAAGCAATGCAAAGCCCTGCTCCTCCCCTCCCTAGTCTTCGCCACAGCGCAGCAAGCCACCTTCCTCCTCCCGCTTTCGGTAGCCTTCGCCCTTAAGCTCGACAACATCGACCACGGCGAGATGATGCATGCCGCCCACAACCAGGACTGCGCGAAGATCATGCTCACGGGCCTCCGCTTCCTCGCCGTCCCGGCCACCGCCCTCTTCGTCGCTCTCGCCGTCCTCCTCCCGGCTGCAGTGACCCTGACCCGCATCGAAGCGACTCTCCTTCCGGAGGACGAGCAGACCATCGTCCCCTTCGACCGCGCAGCCATCATGGGCGACATCGACACCACTTCCCGCGGCGGCTGCCGTGCCTTGTTCGTTCAGGCGTGGCGCTCGTTTGACCGCTCGGCGCGTCTCAGACTCGTCAAGGTCTACGTCAAGATGGTGTTCGCACAGATCACAATCGTCTTTATCGCCGCGCACCTGATGGTGGCCGAGCTGTACCTGATCGGTGGCGAGCGCCTGGCCATCTTCGCCAAGAGCGCTATTGCGCAGGTGAAGCTGATGGCGATTGAGGCACACAAGCAGGCGGAGCAGGGTGCGGTGGCGAACTGAGGTGCTGCTGCCGGAGCCACTGCCTGATTTAGTGGCTGCGATGGGGTAAAACTCAATACCTGATAAACCGTCCACGAGATTGACACTTTTACTATGTCCTATACACGCACAGCGTCGCCCTTTTGGCGTTGGGAACGGGGTGGAAACGGGGTTGGATGGCAGTTGGAGATCCATATGTAAACGATGTACTATTACTCCCCAATACTGCTTCCAGCGCTTCCGAAGTGGAGCTTTTGCCAGCCACGCGTAGTGTTCCGCACATTAATATACCTACCCACAGGCCTTCTCTTTTGGATCGGACGGAAGTGTTCAGAGCGTTGAACCACGATATGTTATAGGTTGCTTCCACATTTTGCTGACGCTGGATGAAGACATTACTAAGGTACTGAGCCAGGCACCTTTGAACCGGGCTTCCTGCAAGCTGCGTGCTCACCATACCATTCGCGTTGACTAGCAGTTTTCGGTCGCCAGAACAGAAGGTAGATTCGGAGCTCATCACTGAGCACTACTGTGATTGTTTGGGGCTATTGAACAGGTAACGTTCATATTCTCCAGATTCGCCGCTGAAGCTCGGCTTGTTAGTTGAAGTTGTTGCCCTCTAACATGGATCTGAAGCTTCCTTCCTCCAATCCATGTAGGCAATCGTGACCTTGTAAATACCAGGTAGATAGGTGAGGGCGAAAGCTGTTGGACACCCACGTCTAGGATCCGCATGACTATGCTTGTCAGTCAAAGGGCGTTGGTGGCCAGTTGGTTCTTCGATTGAGGTTCCGCCGTAGCGCTTGTGGAAGACTTGTTATGACCCCACCCCTTGCCAGCAGGATCCAGAACGACGGTTGACGGCGTTCGGGGGAACAGAAAGTAGAGAGCAGATTGGTAGTTGCCCACAGTAGACGGCAAGCATGTGAGGCGGATCAACAATTTTCCGTCCCGACGCACTTCACTTCGCCAAAACTCCGGTTGTGCTTGACGTATTCTACTTATATTTTGACACCGTTGTCACCATCATCACAGCAGTGCCAAGCATCCGATGTGGTCTAGTGGTTAGGAGTACGTTTCGCCTGATCCACCTGGCTATCATTCCAGTCCGCTAACCTGCTGTCCCAGTTTCTCGCTCTCATCTCTTCAGTAGAGAAAGCGCCGAGGAGGCCGGGGTTCGATTCCCCGCATCGGAAGACTATGCAGGAGCTCAGCTTCATCCAGGTTTAACTCCTGTGATTGCGAACCCATCTTTTTGGCCCTTGTCGAGAGTTGTGAACTTTTTGCTAGACGGGGAATTTTCGATGTGGGGGTCCGGGCGCCAGGGACCCTGCTGACCGGAGTATGATCAACTCGCTTCAATATCTCAATCGAATAGACGGTTCTCTGCGAGGGGTTCAGTAACTTCAGTGCCGAAGTGGCCAAATTTCGATGACTTTCAATCGATCGATCCATGCTTATATCATACAGTCTTCAACGTATTTAACGGTGCAGGAGCACAGCTCCATTGGGGTTTGAGTCCCGTAATAACGACCCTGAAATTTTGCACTTTGTGCAGCAGTATCGGTGGACTTTTATCGGGTGTAATATCGATGGATGTTCTCGGTGGTAGTAGCTTGGTGATCGTGAATATGAGGGAATTTCGTCTCCGAACTCGTATACGTTGCTGTGTTGGACTGTTCAGACGCCCTCTCATTCCTAGCCCTTTGTGACCTGGAACAACAAGATACCATGCAGATTGCAAAAACTCCCTTCATTCGCTCCGATGATAATATTGCCAAGACAACGCCCGGCAAGGAATATCTGCTGCGGGGGAAGTCCGAATTCAGGGTCACACTATCACACATCTCAGCCCACTCTGCCACTTCACATCATGTCCTCCTCCATACCCCTCCAGCAGTGAAGAGGATGGCGGGTAAAGTGCTGGCTGCCCTTCCTCGTCTCAATGCTCGTCTCCTTGCGCAACAGGCTCCTCGCGCCTGCCCGGCAGGTCCGATGCCGGGGGCTTACCACCACGATACACCATGCCGTGCTGATTTGCACCCAAGATTTCCGTAGCCTCGTTAACGTCGACCTTGCGGAGTGCTTCTGGGTCCTGCGCCCTGTCCATATCATCGGGAGTATCGTCGGCATCCGAATCCTCCTCCACGTCTTCCTTGCTTGGTGGTGCTGTGCCCTTCTCCTGCCACTTCCGCACCCATCGCTTTTCCAGACCGCTGAGCATGTTAAGCTGCAAACATACAGAGTCAGTGGCGCTAAAACAAACAGAACATCCTAATATGGGGCTTAATGTATGCTTCTCAACCGCCGCCTGAGTCTCCTCATTACTCATCGGCAGGTCATTGAACATCTTCAAGCAGCTTTGCAGGTGCGAGCGGGCGTGCCAGTAGTTATCAGTACAGAGGGACAGGAGCTGCCAGGCCTGGACTTTTCGTGGACTTGGGACAGGCGTATTCGTCGATGAGCTTGCGACAAGCTGCGTCGGCGAGATCAATGCGCTTACGTTGGTAGTTGGCGAAGGGATTGTCGAAGGTTGCGTGCAAGAAACGCGCTTCGTTGCTGAACGTGCTGGACATTGCGGTGCTGCTGAAGTGCGAGTGAAGAAAGGCGGGTTGAAGTTTGAAGATGCTGGCTGTTTTGTTTGGAAGGCGGGACGTAAATGTGGAAGGTACGGACGGAACTTGCCGTGCTGGTTTGCAATCTCCGAAGCCACACAGCGCTGATACTGCGACAACCGCCATCGACATAGGTACACTGGCCGAAACTCTTGAAATGGACATCCATGAAGACCCCGACGCGCTATCGGCAAGTGGATCCCATCACTTCGAGAGGAAGTTCGTCTTCAGCACAGCGGCTGAGTAGAGTCCGGCAACAACTCGCCGGTAGAAAACCTGATGTGCGTACAGCTTGTTGCTGAACCGCAGTGCGACAGCGTTGGCTGCGCGCCTCCGTTCTCCAGGTCATGCCAGAACAGTCGCTCCATTGTGGTGCTGTTTCCGGCGGGCGAGCCAACGTACTCAGCCGGGCAGCTGGATCGACTCGCGACCTTGATCAAGGCCAGCAAGATCGCCGGTGACCACAGTGTGAGAGTGCTATGCGATCGAGCAAAGTCTCAGGAGCATGCGGTTGCACTCGAGAAAAGCCTGAGCCCGAGAGACTATCACGGGCAGAGCCACGGTGTCAAGCTGGTATTGCCTCCGCAAGGTGGTGAGACTCCCACACGTGCTCGTGATCAACGTCCAGCGCATTCGGCCAGATCTCGGCGGTGCTGAAGATGCGATAGCCGTGGAGCGGAACGTCGATGTTGTCGCCATTTATATGAGGGTATCGGATCTGCTCGACATGACGCCGTGGTGCGACGATATTCTGCCTTCCGAGTCTGCCGCATCAGGCACCTTCGTCCCCACTACAAACTGATGGCACTGGTCTGGTATCGCAGTCGGCATCACTTTGCATACGCCAAAATCACTGATGAGAAAGGTCGCCTTCATTGGGCTGCCTTCAATGATTTGAAGAATCTTGTCCGATGGGAGAGCCCTCTCACAATGCAGGTACGTGCACGTCTCTGCAGACACAGAAGACCGTTTACTGATAAGGGAACAGCGAGGTCCCGGCGAAGGGGAAGTGATTCTGTTCTATGCGCAGTGCTCTGGGGAGGAGGAAGCAGTGCTGGCAGAGAAGGCGAAGGCAGATGCTGAGGTAGCAGCTGCCGGTCTTGGCGACCAGGAGTCGTCAGAGATGAGGAAGACTGGACAGATTTGGACGACGAACCTACTGAAGTCTGCAGCGCCAAGGCAAGGCCGGCTTTTTGGTGTGGACGAGGGCCTGGGCTCAGAGTTCGAGTGGTCGTCTTGTGAAGACGGGACTCGTCAGACGGCGAGAACGCTGGAGAGGCTACATGTGCCAAACTCGCCACACTTCTTCGTGGCGCATCGCGAAGGGGATTCTCTGAGCAAGCTGGCGGAAACTCTGCAGTCCAGTCAGCCCGAGCAAGCCGAGCGTATCGAACTTACGGCCACACGGGCAATGGAGCTCGCTACCCGTCTCGACACAGCGCAGACTAAGCTTGATGCTGCGCAAGGGACTATCACAGATCTGCAAACCCGCCTCAGTGACGCTGGAAGAGCTGCAGGTCCCACAGATATCCAGACAAATACCGTCAAGGCAACCGTAGAGAATTTCCGGTCGGAGGACAGCAGGTTGCGAGACTGCATCGATAGCCTTTTGCTTCAGGAAGGTCGGACAACCGTAACGTCGGGCGGAGCGTTGGCGGAAGCACAAGCTGCCACTGACCGGCTCGACACCCTCCAGGACGAGGAGAAAGCGCTTCAGACACGCCTGACGGCTTTGCACGCTACTGTTGCCACAACTGAGAAAATATGACGTTGGCTGGCACGCAGAAGACCAAGCCAAGCGAGAAAGGAGCAATGGCGCAGATTCAAGGGCTGCTTCACGGTCTGCCGCTCACGGATTTGCTTCGTGTTTCGCAGGGTGCGACGACGTCTGCACAAACAAAGCGCGACGACCGCCCCAGCTCCGGCGCATAATGTAGGCGAGCGCGATGACGAAGCGAGTGATGCCGATAAAGGGAGGTAAAGGGAGCGAGGACGGGAGAGTGACGCTTGTTAAGGAGAGTGACGTTGTTGGGGAGAGTGACGTTGTTGAGGGATCCGACGCCCACGACGAGAGCGAGGAGTTGCTGCCGCCACTACTTGCGCCACCCCGGCAACCACCCCGGCCGCCATCCTCTTGGGTACTTGGCCACCACGAGTGCTTCAGCACGCAAGAGGAAGAGCGAGGGCAGGCACACGCCACGTCCCCAGGGCGCCGGCGGGTGCTGGAAAGGAGGTAAGTGGGCGACTCAAGGCTGCGACTGAAGGATGAATCGAGGTAAACCCCCAGGCATCGCGGAGGCGTATATGCTGGCTGTGATCTGATTACTCGTACGTAGACTAGGCTAGGACCGGCACGAAGCGAGACATTGTTATGGACCAGCGCGGTACTCAGCGACGCATGCTGTGGTGCGCATCAAGGGCGGTGGGAGATCGTTACGGTGTACAGTAGATAGACTGCCTCATCGTCGCCTTGTCTCTCTCTCTCTTTTTACTGGAAGACAGCTCCTCCTCCAACAATAACTTGTTCATCATTAATCATAAAAAGTCTTCTCCATATGATCCGGGCGAGGGCTTCGAGCCGCCGCAACAGCCTCCCTCCCCAATATACGAACCCGGTAATTGCTCAGGCGGCAAACGGCGTACATCTCCTTCAGTCGGCAGACGTTGCCGCAGCTGTACATCGGCTTGCCTCACGCCGCCCGAGACGGTAGACGCAGCTGAGCGGGATGTCCGATCGCGCGCTTCTCCTGCGCACCCGGATCAACGTCAGCGAAGCGATGAGCGCACAGCCAAGCTCCGCCTGGGCAGGCCAGACCACCTTACTGTCCATCACTCAGCCACTCACCCACATCCCCTCCGCGCTCGTCCGCTCCCTACGCAGTCATCCTCCCACCCACAAACGCCCGCCGACCACGACAGTGGTCATACAAGTACACCGCCTCGGCCACACTCTTCCTCGTCCTCCACCCCTCCCCCTCAGCCCCGAACAGCACCAGATCACGCGCAATTCCCCCACGGACTTGCAAACCCACCTCGCCCCGAACTTCTCCATCGGCGCTCTCGTCGACCCTCCGCCGCCCAAGCCCAATCGCCTCCCGCGCCCGCGAACTCACACACTCATACAGCACCTCCGCATCGCGCTGCGTGCCGGCCGAGTACACGCCCACGCCACTACCGGCGAGGGTCAGAGGATCACAAGACCCATGCGGCGTGAACGCATTCCCGATGTTGTTGATGCCCATGCAGGCATTCAAGCCGTACTCCTTGATCAAGCGCGGCACGTCCAGAGTCCCGCGCGTGCGGTCGGGCGTGCGCATCATGAAGAGATCACTTGTTGGCAGGCCCACGAAAGAGATCGGTAAGTCGCCGATAGAGTCTTTGAGACGGCGCCACTCGGCGTCGGGCCACAGTGTTAAGCGGGTGCAGTGGCCCAATACCACCGTCCTCTGCCGCTGCTGGGTGGCTTCATGCCAGTCCTGCTGTTTAAGGGCGGAGATAACGTGCCAGACCAGCGGCTCGATGTTCGGGTCAAGGTTGTAATCGAGGTGGAAATCCAAATGCAACCGCCTACGAGCACTGAG